GAGGAAAAAAAAAAAAAAAAGATTAATGTTTGATGCACCTTTTCAATATGCTTCATGGTAAAATATTCATAAAAATAAATATATAGATATAAGGTTTAGCATGGCTCGCATGGATGGGGCTTTCATTGAAGGAAAAAAAAGGCGATCCACTCGAGCGATGCAAGATTCATCGAATTTTCCCTTCGGAGCTTTTAAAAAGCATGCACTTTTGCCATTCCCAGCGTCGAAATTCTACTCGACAGCTTTTCCACCTGCGCTCTCGCTTCGCTCAAAGCAACGGAACCCGCTACAGTTTGAAAAAAGCACCGGATACTGTCAAAAGCTCCCCGCAAAACTCCGAATGGCACAACGACGCGCAACAAACACACACACACATTTATTATTTTGAAAAACTTCGATACCGCCCGTACACATCCGCACACTTGTTGGCTCGAATCGCAGTTCCAAGCACCACTTGAGATCCCGAGAGAAAAAAAGAAAGCTCGAGTCGCACGTCAACGGCAGTCCCGGATCGAGAGGAGCCAAATAAATGAATAAACAAATAAACGGCCAAGCGCCACAATGCCGAGAGATTTAACGGCGGATTACACGCGGGAGGGGGTCCCTCGTTGGATTTATGGACGCTTCCGTTCACTGACGCATATATGTATATATACAACGCGGCGATATCGCGAAAAGCGATTATTCATGATGATAATAAAACAGAACGGGCATCCTTGTCTGTATTACGTATCAGCGGGTTGGAGTGGCACCCCGAGAAAACGAGCCGAATGCGGGGATGGGGGATGGGAAAACGACCTTCGAGGAGAGGAGAGCTGCTTTGTCCCTTGCGACGTTGCACAGCAGTAAAAGGGGGGGGGGGTAGGGCCAAGGAGCCGACGAGATGCCCCGTTACTTTTACGATCGGCCTCTGTCTGTCTGTCCGTCCGCGTGTGTGTCAGTACAATCGAGTCGGACGAAAATAGATCAACCGATTCCATCGCAGGGCGCTACGTGGGTATGTATAGCATGTAGGAGAAACGATAGCTATACACGTGTGCACGGACAATGTGTACTACGTGCGCGGGTGGGCGTAAAAAAAAAAAAAAAAAAAAAAAAAGTACATAGGTGCGGTCACGTGTTTGTGGCGCTACGTGACTGTACATAACACGCTGTTGCGGCTACCATTTGTCGGGTGGCTTTCAGGGGGAAGGGTTTTCGATACGCTTGGCTGGCNTAATTGAATAATACCGCTGAGCAACAAAAAAAAAAAAAAAAAAAGGTACATAGGTGCGGTCACGTGTTTGTGGCGCTACGTGACTGTACATAACACGCTGTTGCGGCTACCATTTGTCGGGTGGCTTTCAGGGGGAAGGGTTTTCGATACGCTTGGCTGGCCGATCAGCGTACGATAGACGCGTTTGGTCATTTTGCTCGTACGAACGAGTGGAAGCTTTGTACAAAATATTTTCGAGCTTTTCGGTACAAGGATATTTCACTACCCCTCCCCCCTGCCCGCGGATGTAGTCGCAATGGATCATCGGTAAACGAGCTCCCCCCCCCCTGAAATCAACGATAATTTACAATTTCACGCGCGCTCTTTCACGCGTGTTTGTTTCCAACAACCGGAGCAGAGCTAATTAATTGATGCGCGCGTTTTGTTTTCTTTTTTTTTTGTTGCATGAAAAAATGAGCGCACGAGCTTTTTGGCAGTAAGAGGTGTCGCGATGGCACGTACGCTTGCAAGGGTGATGGAAGACAAAAGAATTTTCGTTGCAACGAATATCATCTTGTGGAAAATTGTGTGGATGTTGTTTTTCTGGCTCGTCAAAAGCTAAATATTTTCCGGAAAAACAGCTCAAGAACCATTAGCGAGAGACGACAAATCCCATCGCCATCGCTGTTGGGTAAAAAAAGCTCGAAAGCTCATGTGAAAGCCGATGAAAACGAGCAGAGCGAAAAAGAGCATCAAAGCCGAACAAGCGAGCTTTCACACTTTTCAGACAATACGACCCTGAAAAAAAACCCCTCTTTCGAGCTTTTAGCGTATCAATCAGATATAACGCGTACTCACACCGCACGCACAACCAGGCCGACTTTATTTTTCCGAGGAGGCCTTATCCATCCACCAATTAATTATTGCGACACGACAACTCTATCGTGCACGCCTTCGGCTCCTCGACCTTGGTGCCCATTTCTTCTTTTTTTTTTCTTCTTTTTTTCAATCGTTACCGTATACAGTTATACCATACGCGAGTTTGAATGGATCATGTTATTTCCGATGTACCTAAAGACAAATGCCATTTCGGAATAATGAAAGACACTTATGGCTCGTCCGATCGATCGCGCGACGCGAAAGCATATACACCAGCGTCAAGCCGGTATTTTTACCGCGCTAATAAATTAAAAGGCTGTAAGCGATAGCCGTGTGTATTCCACTGCGCGGCGCGGTATACTGTATAAGTCGTTGTCTCGGCGAACACGGAACGACGTTCATTATGGTTATTAACGTTTCTCACGAGAGTTATATACGAACACACGGTGTTCCAAGGAGTCCAGGGTATGGGGCAAAAATTCGCGTGACTCTTGATCCTGAAATTACAACGCGCAGTTCTTGTAATTACCGTACGTCATATAAAATGGCACACGCGTCGCGTTATTTGCCAAGGCATTGAACCTCCTGGCCGATGGTACCTACTTTGCAAACAATTTTTTTTTTTCCCCTCCCCATAAATTGCGCTCGATCGCGAAGACACACATGTGCGGCCAAACGAAGAATTCCAATGCGAAACCGACAAGTAGTCCAGCAGGTCGCGGGTTGAACGGCCCCTATACACTTTTTGCGACGACATTACCTATCTCCCTTTCAAGCCTCGCAAGTATATTATTTCCACCCGTAAACACCGAAATCGTCATCGAATCCATAAACGAATGTATTATTTTTACCGCGTTCGGGCTGTAACCTTCTTCGGCAACCAACATGGTAATTCAATGCTACACGACGCGCGGAATAATTCATGCGTCCACCGGACTCTATAGGCATCGGCTGTAAAGCCGCGTGTTTTACAACAAAAGCTCACCTAGACGAGTTACACTGTCACCGGGGTAGTCTTTTTATACGACTGCGCGACACTGTTTTTCGACTTTGTACATAATTCTCGTGTGACTATATGTATCTTAGACCCGACAGAGAAAATGTAAAATGGACCCTGGGGGTGTCTCGTGCACCGATCGTTAGCCGCTCGTATCGGTTAGCCGTAGAACTTTACCCACACAGCCTCCAGATACCGGTATCTCGCTCGTCATTAGCGATGTTGGTTTTTTTCGGAGCCAAAGAAGGGACAAAAAAAGTTTGCTCGTTGGGGAGCGAGAGAGGGGGTGATTTTAGGCTAGATAGTGGCGTTAACGACTGGAGCCATTGACGACGAACCGGGTAATCGCGTTTGATCTCGATGAGATGATTCGCCGCGATGGAGCTTAATTGGGTATTAATGACTGCGCTGTGTGTATGTGGCTTGTACCCTTAGATGGAGCACATACATATACATGTTCGGGGCTCGTGCCTTAGGTATACAACCTAGGCAATGAGGGGATTCGTGAAAAACCGGCTTTCTATAATAAAGCGCCTACACCCCACGATCGAGTAACGT